TGTGTCTTCTGAGTTTTATATTGTCAGACAAAAATCTCCAAAAGAAAACTTTAGAGGAGAAGGGAAGAACATTAAACATTAAATGGAATTTAATTTGACAAGATTTGTTTCCAAGTAATTTCGAACCATTTATTTTGGTCTGTTCATCATGAAGTTTTCACACAGTGTAAAGAAGTGACAAAAAGTGGAGTTGTACGGTTTTATTCTGTGGTAAATAGTAGAACGTCTGAAAAAAAACAAGTTTCTTATTTACACCCTGCATGTATCCCTCCATCATGAATGGATTTTAACAAACAGGTTTTAGTCCAAAATCCATTGTAAAACAGTGTCTCAGTCATCAGGCATCACCATTTCATGTAGGAACTTTCTGTGAGGGAGCTTTTAGAGGTGGACGTCTGGTTCCTATCACCACCACTGTGAACAGTTCTGACTCTGTAAGTTTATCTAGAACGGAGCGTTTCACACCAAACCACTCTGAACGACTCTTTTTTTACATATTAAGCCTTTAATTATGATGAAATCTTCCCTTTTAGATTCAGAATCAGTGTGAGAACTGAGCAATTAGTTATGCAGAAATCTGGGAAAAATGTGTGGAATAACTTAAGATAACTACACTCTTAAAAGAACGGTTCTTCAAGGGTTTTTTAGTAAAGGCAGTGGTTCTATATAGAACCATGAACACTCAAATAATGCTTTGCATGATTAAATGGTTCTTTGCATGGTGAAATGGTTCTTCAGATTGATGGAGAATGTGTTGTATATGGTTCTTTAAAACACCTAAAAGGCTTTTCTGTTGCTTTGTCGTCAAGCTTGTAACAGTAGAAGAACCCTTTTTGGTGCTATATAAGACCATTGTCTTTTACTAGAGAACCCCCGAACAACCGTCTGTTTTAAGAGTGACTTTATCTTCTTTGGTGCAAGCAGCCACAGGGGTGGTATCTATAAAGCTTCTCTGTAGTTGTGCTGATCTCTGATCTGTTCCAGTCAATAAGGTCGTGATAAATAGGAGCATCTCACTCGTACTCTGAGAAGCTCTATAAATATGGGCCTGTATGAACATTAAATAAAGGGAAACACTTTTCTGCTTTTTCTCTTTCCTTTACTGTGTTTAGCTTTTTGTTCATGTAAATGTTCTGCAAAGTCCCAAAGCTCAGCGTTTCCTCCAGAGGGAGAAACTCTCTCCCACAGAACCCACTTTTCTCAGCAGCCTGAAACGCCTCGTTGGAATTCCAGCCCTTTTCCTTTGTTACAGGATGACATCATCTCATAACACTGTCCTTACTGCCCGCCTACTGGCGAGCTCGGCCCCTTTACACAGCGCACAGCAGCTACTGGAGGAGGAAGAGTGTGGTCAGTGCTGTAGTGTGTGGAGAAGACGCTGACCGGACTTTCTGGATGAAACTGATACGGCAGAACCGACGTCACTGGAGAAACAGCCACAGCAGAGTTTACAGCTGCTCAGGAGAGAAGGGTCTGTCTGCAGACTGCAGGACAGGGGCGGAACGTGGAGGGCAGAACCGCTGTGGAGGCTGACTAATCAGAACAGAGTGGGCGAGCTGACCAATCAGAGCACACTGGGCTCATCAGAAGGCGGGGTTTAAAGACACAGGAGCTCTAACAGAGCGGTTCAGACAGAGGGTGAATAGAAATTAATAGTATAAGGAAAATAATGTTTGGATTATTGACATTTAATGAACATTAAAGCTGTAAATCTGTTCTAGTAGAGCCAAAAATAAAATTATGAACACTGAAAATGAGCATAAATAGATCGTCTTTAAAGCTTTAAAATACTGTGTGAGATATCGCGATTCTGAGTGAGGTATTGAGAACTGTCTGGCCTCCACTGTTCAGTTCATATTTTCAGATGTTTATGATTTAATTTTTCTCTCTGCAAATTCATAGATCACTGTAATTAGTGGGACGTTTCAAAGCTGAATCGGCGCCGAGTTGGCTGTGCATCTGCTCCAGACTATCTTGTCTCTCTTTATTTCCCTTATAAAGGACAGACTGGAGATCGGAAACATGCGCCCTGTTCGTGCGCTCCCTCATGACCCTTTTGACGGCAAACCCAGACAAGACGCAAGAAATGGGTCTTCTCTCATCCCCCTCCGTCTCTGGCTTCAGCCAAATATAAACAGGCATGAATTCTGCAGAATAAGACCACATTTTCTGAGAGAGTGAGGGAGAAAATAGCTTTTAATGCTTAAGTCTTGGATTATATTTCATTCTGAGTTGAACCAGGATGTGCATCATATAGATCTGAAGGCAGTGATTCAGCTGCATCCATTTTAGAATGTCAGTCAGTCCTAATATTCATTTGATACCTTCAAAGTGGTTCACTCATTTCATTATTCACTATACTTCATTTCATCCATGAAAACATCCACGAGTGGCTGGATGCCTTGGCCCTAGTGTTGTAATGACAGCCACCATTTTGGCAGGCAACTTTAAGTTCGGTGGCGGCAGCTCAGTAGAGGGAGAAGCCAAAACCAATACAGCAAAGGCAGTGATGTATTTTTGGGAATACTCAGTTTAAAACTAATCTTTGAAGTGTATTAACCTATATATTCGAGTGTTTTCCCTTGATTTTATGTGAGTTGTTGAAATGAAAGCTGAGCTCCAAGGACCGAAAGAAACTCATAGCTCAACGCAAGCACAAGCTGCATTCTGAGCATTAGAGCAGGGGGGGCGCTACAACGACAACGACAGCCAAGCCTGTCCAAGCCGTCTCATACCGCCAGTGTTTTCTCAACTGCAATAGCAGACGAGCACTTGAGTCTCACGCTAAGATGGCTCACATAAACATAAAAAAATCTGATTATGGCCTCTCCATTCCAGCAGAAGAGGTAAAGCAGCCCACTCTCCTCTTCTGTACACGTTAAGCTGTCGAAATAACAGTAGATCCTCTCTGATTTGTCCTCCTTCAGTACTTTAACCTCCACAGTAACGTAAGAATGCACGGCGAGTTTAAACGGAAGGATGGAGTGATTGCAACGCGTTGGCCGAGCGCTGTACTTGCGTACGTGTGTTTCTAGCCTAAACAGCTAAGATTCCCTGCTGTGTTACTTACACTGCATCCCAAACCGCATATTAGAACACTGAATGGTATTGAAATAGTGCAGAACCATCAGAAGGGCACTCATTAGTGCAGTAGGTGAAGTATAGAAGTGTGTGGTTGGGGACGCAGCAACAGTCCAGCAGCTGCAGTGGCTGGTTATAGCTCTGCTGAGCTGCTTGTTAGCTGCTCATTAAACATCTCCAAGCCAGAGTTTCCTGTTTCCTGATTTAGCATGATTTATTGAGGTAAACTGGACTGGATGTCTGCTAATTTTTCTGTGACATGATGTTGGTTTCTTATTTGCCAGCTTTTTTTCCTGAAATTGGTTCTATGTTTATGGTGCCTGAATGTTTCTACTGCACCATTTAAGGTGGAGTGGAAAATCTGTACAAGGATTTCAGATTAACTGTGTCTATTATTTAGCTTTGGTAGTTTTTCTAGCCATGTAAAACATCACACGGTGGATAAATGTGCAGATTATGCTGTTTCAGTCCACCAATCAAGCTAATCCCATTGTAGCGTTTTCTGGAGACCGTATCTAAAGCGTCCACTCATCTTTTCAGCTTTTCTGGAGTCATTCTGGTCTGTTTTACTTGATTTTTATCCATCTGTGTAGCAACAGTGAGGAGCTCTGAGCAGGTGATGTGTTGCCTTCTATTACACTAGGAGTAAAAGAAGGAACACCCCCCATTCTTTAATCCAAGACTGGCTTCCAGTCTGTTCCACAGTAGACTTTAAGGAGCTGTTACTCTTCTATAAACGCCTTAATGGTGCAGGAGCAGCGTATTTATCTGATCTGCTGCAGCGATATGAGCCAAGCAGAACTCTCAGATCATTAGGAACTGGTCAGTTAGTCCGAAGGTGAAGACTAAACATGGAGAAACAGTGGTTGGCTACACTTGGCACACTTAGTTCTTCAATGCTTTTTTTTAGTAAGGAAAATGGTTCTTTGCATGGTCAAATAGTTCTTCAGATTGATGGAGAATGTGTTATATATGGTTCTAGATAAAACTTTTTGAGAAGGGTTCTACATAGCACCAAAAAGATTTCTGCTATTTTATGTAACCTTGACATCATAACAATAGAAGAACTCTTTTTGGTGCTATATAGAAAAGGTTTATATATAACCATTTACAGCACATTCTCCATCAATCTGAAGAACCATTTCACCATGCAAAGAAGCATTCAATCATACAAAGGGTTCTGTGACTATACACAGCCGATTTCTTGAAGAACCGTCATTTTTGAGAGTGTAGTTATTGATGCTGCTGTGTAATTTCTGTTAAATATATTTTCCACTTTTTCCCTGATGCTAAAAAATGAATAATGTTTTAATTGTATATTACATAAATGAGGGGAGCACAGAACTGTAGCTGGCAGGTGGGAAATAACAGCTAAATTTGTTGAAAATTCTGAAAAAATTAAAAGAAAGTTTGGTGTACAGTGTAAATCCCACTGCTGTAAGTAGGCCCTGCAGTCACATTTATGTACTCAATGTAATTATGAATTGTACCTAAGTGGATCACGTCATGGTGAAATTTGAGATGTACTGTATCATAAAGACTCATAACTGAGTCGTTCTCCTCTTAGAACTAAGAGAAGCTTTAGGCACTGACTGACAAGCTGAGCTGACCACCCTTATTACGCACCGGTCTCTCCACAAAACAGAGAGACAGAGAGAATCTTTCTGATCTTCCCGTAATCAGGCTGCATTGGATCCATGCTGCACACTCTTTAAATAAAGTGTTCCCCACAAAACCTCATCCTTCCTCAGAGAAGATAAAAGCGCTCTTCTTTCTGAGAGAGCGTGCATGACTGTCTGAATTTTTCTGCTTTTTGTGCCATTGAACCACAGAAGATCCCGTCCAGTGGGATTTTCTATGGTTTCATGCTTTGTGTGGTGACTCTGCGCTGACACTGACTCCGTCACGTTTGTGTTAAGCCGCCAGAGAGAGCTGGCGTCAGGACTGCAGGAGCTGCCTGGAGTGCTCGAAGGAGAATGGCTGCCTGCGCTGCCCGGAGCGACTGTTCCTTTACCTCCACCGAGACGGCATCAGCCACCACGGCTCCTGCCTCCACTCCTGCCCCGCCGGACACTTCGGCCTGCGAGGGACGGATGCAAACCGCTGCATAAGTAAGTTTGACCTGGGAGGTGTTGGGCTTACGTGTACATGCATAATAATAATAATAACACTAATAACAATAATAATAATAATAATAATAATAATAATAATAATTAATAATACCAGAACTCTTAATAATAGAACCCTTATAGCTCTATTAAGGAATGCCTTTCATACTGGTGGCAGGTCAAATTTCTTCATAGACTAATGATAAAGTTTAACAGTAATAGAAGATCATTAGCAACAAATATATAGTATAGTAAAAAGAGACAGACAAGTAAGTTAAGACAAGACAAGCCACAAGGAAAAAACACATAAAGAAAAAAACAAAACAAAAAAAACTCACAACAGACAGTACATACAGCAAACAAATAAAGCGGGACAAGCCAAACAAAAAAAAGAGGTATTATAATAATAATAATAATAATAATAATAATAATAATAATGACAGGCAGGCAGTACATGAAGTAAATAAAGTGGTAAGATGTATGCATACACATATAGACAGAAGAAATCTGATTACTGTTTAGTAACTGCAATATAAGAAAAAAATAAGTGTAAATTTTAAGTCAATTACAGATCAAATTAAAAAGATGAAAACAGGTGGTAGAATTTTATTCAAAAGCTAAATTTAAGAGATGCGCTTTCAAATGCTTTGTAAAAGTGTGGCTGTCTAATAAAAGGTGAACTGAGCTCCACAGTTTAGAAGCAGAATAACTGAAAGAGTCTCTCCACGTTTTCTGTGTTTTACTGAAGGAGTTCAGAAGGTCAGAATCTGCAGATCTAAGATCATAAACAGACAGACATTCAGGAGCTTTAAGGTCATTTAGAGATTTAAAAACCAGCAGCAGAGCTTTGAACTCAGATCCAGGTGGTCAGTGCTTTATGTAAATGGCGGTGATATTTGATCAGATATTTTGATCAGGTGCCTAAGTCTGTTTTCAGACCAGTATCTTTGGTGAAACAGTGCTTTACTAACTGATTTGAAGTCAAACAGCAGAAATTCACAGTCTTTAATAATTTGAATTTCATAGAATGTGAACAAATCTCACTTAATATGTTTTTCCAGTGTCGAGCGTTTCACATCAAACCATTCTGACCTTTGCTTTTCGAGAAGTTAAATTATGTAGAAATTTTGAAATATCTACACACAGATGGTTCTTTAAGGGTTCTTTAGTGAAGAAAATGATTAAAGGGTTCTTTGCATCATGAAAGTGTTCCTTATATTGATAGAAAAAGCACTGAAGATGGTGCTACATAGAACCTGTGAACCAGAATAAATACGATTGAGTCAGATTTAAGCCAAAGCGTATCGTATGTGTCCACTTTCTGTCCACTCTATTAGACACTCCTACCTTGTCAGTCCACCTTGTAGGTGTAAAGTCAGAGACGATAGCTCATCTGCTGCTGCACAGTTTGTGTTGGTCATCCTCTAGTCCTTCATCAGTGGTCACAGGACGCTGCCCACAGGACGCTGTTGGCTGGATATTTTTGGTTGGTGGACTATTCTCAGTCCAGCAGTGACACTGAGGTGTTTAAAAACTCCAGCAGCACTGCTGTGTCTGATCCACTCATACCAGCACAACACACACTAACACACCACCACCATGTCAGTGTTACTGCAGTGCTGAGAATGATCCACCACCCAAATAGTACCTGCTCTGTGAGGGTCCATGGGGGTCCTGACCACTGAAGAACAGGGTAAAAGGGGGCTAACAAAGTATCAGAGAAACAGATGGACTACAGTCTGTAACTGTAGAACTACAAAGTGCACCTATATAGTAAGTGGAGCTGATAAAATGGACAATGAGCGTAGAAACAAGGAGGTGGTCATAATGTTATGCCTGATTGGTGTATATTTACTTTATATATTTCAGTTTTTCCTCATTTTGTAGGCCTAATAACACCAACTTAAAATCAAACTGTGAGTGTTGTTATCCTGTTAGCTTTTGAAAGAATAGCTGTTTGTATTTTTGAAAAACTTCTTTTAGGATTTTGACTCTTAAATGTATTCATGATGCAGTTTAAAACATATTCAGAGAAAAGAATATTGCTGATTACAGTACTATACTGCTCCCAATATGTCTTGTAAAAATACAGTGCAGCATGTCATTACTGTAAATAAACATTACAGTATGATGTTGTAAATATTAATTACAGTACTTGCCAACTCTTCTGCCAGTAAGTTACTGTAATAACTGTTTATAGTGCACCTCTCCAAAAACAGTCCTCCAGTATTTCTTATTGTTGTTATAACAGTCGCTTATGTCCTCTAAATCTCTTGCCTTGTAAGAGAAAAAGGTTAAAGCTGATGTCTCTAAACTCTGTAATATTTTTGTCCCCCCAGAATGCAAAGCTCCAGAGTGCGAGAGGTGCTTCGACAAAGACTTTTGCACCAAGTGTAAAGGAGGATTTTTGCTCTTCAAAGGCAAATGCCTCAGCAGCTGCCCCGAAGGCACGTTCCCTCACTCCACGGACTGCGTCGGTGAGCCATTTACTGCCGTCTTGGCCATTTTTTACGAGGAGATGTCATTAAACTCCCATTACCGTGTTGAAAGAGGCCTGTCGTTAGGGTTTTATTTGGAACGATTAGCTCAAGATGTTTTCCCGTGTGCTGAGGGAGACGAAGGCGGGAGCTTCTGCGCTATTTTTCCTTTGCAGATTGGGATTATAATTAGATGGCAGAATAAAGCGAGGCTCCATGTTCACACGTAGGAGGGCTGCAGGCTAATAATAAGTTCTTGAGCAGTGAGTTGGTGGGACACAAATGATCAGACTGCATTACTTTCAGCTACCAAAATTTCAGGGAACAGAGAATATGGGGTGTTGCAGGATGCTGTGGAATTTACATTTACAGTACATTTAAATTTAATTTGTGGATATATATATTTTTTTGCTTCAGTACATTTATTCTTGCCATTGAGGCTGCAACATGAACTTCTGTTGTCGACCACATTCTAGTTAAGCAATAGAACACAGAGGGAGTGTGTTATCGTGAAATAACATCACGGCTGTGATTTGGTCACCGTAGATCATCACAGCCGTGATGTTATTGGCGATAACACAGTCCTCGAGTGTTCTATTGCTTTAATACAACAGTTAAATAAATAAAGTAATAAATTAATAAACTGGGCCGTGAACGCGGCGTTTAATATGTTTTAATGTTCGCAGTTCCTTCACCAAATTATAGTTCCTTAACGAGCAGCTTGTTGCTACGTCAGAGTAACGAGCTCCGCCCACTCACTGCACAGTCTGCTGTAAGCCTCGTCTTTTGAAGTACAGACTGAGCCATAAAACTGCCGCAATATCAAGTTCAGCTCAGTTTTGTCAGTTTTCTGCCAGATCAGTATTAATGTTGTTTTGTTCCAGCCAGTCTGTAAAGCATCTTACAGCCCATTTAGTTTGGCGAATGGTGTTGGGTTCATTTCTGGCTGATTCCAGGTTGTTCAGCTGTTCTTCTGTCACAGCTGCCGACTGAAAAGCTGCTCAGTGGTGATGACAGTTTGGGAATTTAGTGTCGTCTCATCTTCAGAGTCTGACCAAATTGGCTGTCGGTCAAACGTGATCTTAAAAGTGTCCATTTTCTGTTTGTGGCAAAGTAAGAAGTAAAAACGTTCAAATGTCTTGAGCGTCTCCTACAGCTGAGTCGTTGCTTAGCAATGACGTCTCAGCGGAGTGATACAGTGTTTGTGAAAACCCGTGATGTTATGGTGAAATAACAGCACAGTTAGAACGGTTCTCAACCAATCAGCTTGCGTGGCCGGAACTAACTGTTGTATAATAATTGAATATACCATATAAATGAAGCTATTTTGTGGCCCGTACTGATTTTAAGGGGTTAAAATGCTGACTGATAAGATTTAATTCTCAATTGTCACACTCCTTAAACCACAGAGTGAGAAAAGAGAGCGAGTTTATGTTTGTTTTACTTGGCACCCAGTTATATTTCAGTTCATTATAGACCATTTTAAGAACGTTCTCTTTTTTTTATGATGTGTGTTGAGAAGGATTTACACATTAATGCTACAATATGATTTTCCATTATACAACAACTTATACGTTCTTTTCAAAAACCCGTTGTATCCAAAATTGTTACAAATACTTATACTCCGCACTTTGGAATGAAACTCTTGAATGGTAGGCAGCTGTGAGGGGAGAGCAGTGTACTGTCCTCCACAGGTGGCTTTTACTTCGGCATTTGAAATCATGTGAAAATGGCTAAACATAACTTGTTTAAAGAGAGAGGCGGGAACAGTGTTGATAAGAAAAAAGAAGAAAGAAATCTCAACATTTAATCTCAACATTTACATGTTTAAAGGAGGCTGGAACAGAGTGAGCGGAGCCTTACAGACTTGCTGTCTTTAATGGGTTCTGTATAGCACCAAAAAAGGTTCTTCTAATGTTACAGGCTTGACATTGTAACAATAGAAGAACCCTTTTTGGTGCTATATGGAAACCTTTTCAAAAAGGTTATTTTTAGAACCATCTACAGCACACTCTCCATCAATCTGAGGAACCCTTTCATGATGCAAAGAAGCCTATAATTATGCAAAGGGTTCTATGAGTGTTCATGGTTCTGCATAGAACCATTTTCTTTACTAAAGAACCTTTGAAGAACATCTTTAAGTGTGTGGGCCCAGCCAATGTAGCAGTGGCTGATATCAGCAGATATGTTTATCAGTATTGGTGAAAATATTGGCAGTAATTTATGATCCACTGCTGTTAGGACAGAATTTTAGACCGCTGTGCCACTGAGTAACCCAACATTAGGCTCAATCCCATTTCACCCCTCGCCCCTACCTCTTAGCACTTAGCCCTCTGTTTTGCGAATTCATGTCTAGGGGTAGGGTGTCCCGATTCTTGTTGAGATAGAGGGGTAGGGTGAAGTGTTGGGGCTACATGACCCTCCAAACGGAGGTTTTTTAGACACTCCAAACAGAGAGTTATGAGAAAAAAAGAAAAACCTGCAAGATGGAGAACAAGAGACCAAAGAAACACACAAATGTGAGAATTTACTCTGTTCAAATATTATATTAACCACTGTTAATACGTTTCAGCGTATTATGGTCATTTTCTTCATAACAAGCATAAAAAATCGCTAATAGCATGCTAATGTCGCGGTAGCTAACTAACTTTCCCTATTCCACCTTAAATAGTCCAGCAGTTCTGACATCTGAAGCGCCAGAATGTAACTGCTGCACCATTTAAGGTGGAACAGGAAAATTCCAACAAGAATCTGGTGAATATCTGACTTCAGCTTCATATCACTGTAGTATTAGTGGTGGGTGATAATAAATAATTGCCCCCTCTTTGAAGGCATATGATGCCCTAAATGTAACTAAAGCCCAGCAGTGAGGAGCTGAACTTTACCCTCCTCTGCTGTCACTGCAGACTGGCAGGGTCGCCTACAGAGCAGCGCTGGTAGCTGTTAATGAAGTGATGCTCTTTTTATTTGAGGGTCCCATTTCAGAGGGAAGATTTCAACCACTACCCTGTAACTCAGTTCCAAGGGGTTAGGGTGACACTCGAAAACAAGGGGTGGGGTAAAAAGAAGAAATGGGATAATCTAAGAATAGCTCAGCCAGTTTGCAGTGAAGTCCTTGTAGGTACTGAATAAAAAGGCTTATATAATAAGCCTGAGAATTTAAGGGGTTAACATTATAAACGTTTTAGAAATCATTTAAGATAACAAGTCTGTATAGGCTCCACCCACTCTGTTCCTGCCTCCTTTAAATATGTAAATATTGAGATTTCTTTCTTCTTTTTTTTCTTATGAGTATTGTTCCCGCCTCTCTCGTTACACAAGTTATTTTTAGCCATCTTCATGTTTGCAAACATATATTTACCAATGCGAAGGTAAAAAGCCACCTGTGGAGGGCAGTACACGGTTCTCCCCTCATCATTTAAGAGTTTCATTCCAAAGTGTGGAGTATATCTATTTTTATGCAACAGTTAGTTCCGGCTATGCAAGCTGATTGGTTGAGAAGCGTTCTAACTGTGCTGTTATTTCACCATAACATCACAGTTTTTCACAAACACTGTATCACTCCTCTGAGACGCTGTTGCTAAGCAACGACTTTGACAGCTGTAGGAGACGCTCAAGACATTTTTACTTCTTACTTTGCCACAAACAGAAAACGGACACTTTTAAGATCACATTTGACCGACAGCCGATTTGGTCAGACTCTGAAGATGAGACGACACTAAATTCCCAAACTGTCGTCACCACTGAGCAGCTTTTCAGTCGGCAGCTGAGACAGAAGAACAGCTAAACAACCTGGAATCAGCCGGAAATGAACCCAACACCATTCGCCAAACTAAATGGGCTGTAAGATGCTTTACAGACTGGCTGGAACAAAACAACATTAATACTGATCTGGCAAAAACTGACAAAACTGAGCTAAACTTGATATTGTGGCAGTTTTATGGCTCAGTCTGTACTTCAAAAGGCGAGGCTTACAGTAGACTGTGCAGCGAGTGGGCGGAGCTCGTTACTCTGAGGTACCAACAAGCTGCTCGTTAAGGAACTATAATTTGGTGAAGGAACTGCGAACATTAAAACATATTAAACGCCGCGTTCACGGCCCAGTTTATTAATTTATTACTTCATTTATTTAACTGCTGTATTAAAGCAATAGAACACTCGAGGAGTGTGTTATCACCAATAACATCACGGCTGTGATGATCTACGGCGACCAAATCACAGCCGTGATGTTATTCGCGATAACACACCTTTTGTGCTTCATTGCTTGAATAACAATTTTGCCTTTAACAGGTTTTTGAATGGAATGTGTTTAACTTGTATAATAGAAAAAAACATGTTATTTCTTTTATTAAGGTGATATTAATCATAATGTAGCATTAGTGTGTAAAGACCTCTCAACACACATCATGGAAACAGAGAAAATCCTTGAAAGTCTATAATGAAATATAACTGGGTGCCAAGCAAAACAAACATAACCTGCTCTCTTTCCTCACTCTGTGGTTTAAAGCCTGGACTGCTTGGCACAACCATTGTTTTATAAACGGATAAATGTCTTATAAAGCATTAAACACAGCACAGCCTCTATAGGCTCCGCCCACTCTGTTCCAGCTCTCTGTAAACATGTGAATATTCAGATTTCTTTCTTTCTTCCTTTCTTTTTCTTTCTTACATTATTTTTTCCTTCATTTATTTCTATTTCTTTCTTTTCTTATTTCCTCTCTTTCTTTCTTTTTCTTCTATCCTTTTCTTTCTTCCTTACTTTTGGTCTCTTTTTATTACATATGAAGTCATAGTTTTTTACGTCTGTTGGTCAGTCTAATTATGATGAATATGTTGTATCTGTCTGTATTCCAGAGGATTGCATGTACAGTCCCGTTGGTTACTGGAGTGAGTGGAGCCCGTGTCTATATAACGGCCTAAGCTGTGGTGTCCGGTGGGGGTGGCAGAATAGGACCCGCGTGCTGTCCTGGAGAGTGCCTGAGGAACTGTCCGCACTTTGTCCCCCTCAGAGCGAGACCAGAAAGTGCCGCATGAAACGGAGGTGTCCGAAAGGTGAGGCTTTGAGATGGAGAACGATGAGACTAAACCTTGAAAAGCATGTCTTGATTCTTGTAAACAAAGCTGCATCCTAGACCAGCAGCAACTGCACTGTTGATTGCCACGTGAAGCACTGACGGAGATTTGGAATAAATACTCCCTTATTCAGTAATCAATAAGATTAGATATCGTAATCAATAACCCAATAGGTAGTATTGGCTAACAGAGGATGTTAATTCTCTCACAAAGGGAAGGTCTTAGTCTGTCTGCATAGGAGATTCTAGACACTGGAAAGCCCCTGAGTTCACAGACAGGCCTGTGTGTACCTACAGACCCAGTGAGGAGAGGGGCAAGTTGACCTTGATAGGTAGAGCAGACTGGTAAAAACCGGCTGAAACCAGTTTTTAGGGGTGAGCTCAACATGCGATGACCAAATTGATGGATGAAGAGATGCACCTATTAGAGAATGAGCTGATATCAAAATTTGAGAAGTAAGACGGGGGGATATCAAACCACCCCAGATAAATGGTATAAACTGTTATTTGGAACACTGTTTGCGCAGTTGGGGTCTCTCGAGACCCTGTGCCACCTGAGGCTTGATGGTAGAATCTGAATTCCGACTGGATGTTTTTCTTTCTTTCTTTCTTTCTTCTTTCTTTCTTTCTTTCTTTCTTTCTTTCTACCCTCCTTTTATCTTGGTCTCTATCACATTTGAATTCAGTGACTCATCTCTTACACATATTATTTTATGCTAGTAAAGCAATCTTGCCTTCAAGGACTGTATTTCCTTCAGTAAGTGTAAATGTAGTTTTAGAAATGGTTCAGTTTAGCCCTCCTGTTATGTTGCGGGTCAAATTGGATTGTTTCAAAGTTGAAATATACAGTGAAAATATTTGTAACAAATTTTACATTAAAATGTAACAATAATAATAATAATAAATAATAATAATAATAATCAATACTGTGATAATATAATTATATTTTATTATAAATAATAACTAACTATTAAAATATTTTATATTATATTTTTAACAATTGCTGGATTTCATCATCATCATCATCGTTAACCGCTTAGTCCAGATAGGGTCGCGGTAGCAGTTGGGAGAGCAGAGAATCCCAGATGACCCTGTCCCCCGCAACTTCCTGCAGCTCATTCCCGGGGACCCCAAGTCGCTCCCAGGCCAACCTGGAGATATAATTCCTCCAGTGCGTCCTAGAGGGATTATATCTCCAGGTTGGCCTGGGAGTGGCTTGGGGTTGCTGGATTTATGACTCATTTAGTGTGATTTGAATTGAGAGGGTCAGTTTAACCCAGAACAGATGTTTTGTTTGTACTGATGAACGTGTCTCCATGACAGATGTCAACAATTTCTAAATAAGAATAAATAAAACAAATGTGCTGAATGTCCAATGTACAGAAAAAAAAAGTTTTATTTTTTTTTTTTTTATAAAAAAAAACAAGTAAGGGGTGAAAAACACTAAAATCACACTAAATATGGGTTAAATTGATATTAACTGAGCTAAAGATACTGTTTATGGAGAAAAATGTATTTTCAGATGGTTAAACATGCATCAGGTCAAACTGACCCAGAAACGTTATCGCTCTTCATCACAGCTGAACATAACGGGAGGGTTAAGTGCTGAATTGCAAACACTGAAACACATGCATTGCTTGTCATTAGGAAAGAGCAGTGAGCCAATCAGAATAGAGCTGGCGCTCTCACAGTTAACTCACTGTAAATATCAGACGCTGCAGTGTTGCAATGCTGGACTGGCTGAATGTTCCGCTCTACCAGCTGTGCTGCAGATTATTGCTTTGTGATTATTTCTTTTTTCATCCTTTTATCACGCTCTATTAGACGAAACAGAAACGGTTCTACAAGGAAGGATGAATCAGCTCATGAAAAACATCAAACAGGCGCAGTGGAGGGATAAAAACAGCACAATGTGGAAGAACGAGCTGCATTAATTATATACGGCAAACTGTGAAATGATTTTAGAGAGCGCAGAAAGCAAACTGAGACTGAGTGAGGAGGTGAAAACAAACAGGAGCAGAGTTTTTGGAGAGAACAAAGAAGAATGTGTTAAAAAAGGGAACTGAAGAGGCTACTAAGGTGGACATTAGCACATTAGCATTTGAAACAAATAAAAACAGTCAACAAACAATAAAAAAATGTTTTTTTAATTTCTAACTGTATTACAGTTTTTGGTTGTTTATGGAACCTTGTATCATTTATTACCAAAGTGCTTGTAATAATAATAATAATAATAATAATAATAATCATGTTATTTATCAATTTTTTAAAATATTTTGACATCAGATTGTCAGAACAGTGAACAATACCTGGATATAGTTTTGATCTCATATTGCCCTTCCTTAGCTTATGGTCTTTTAAAGGAGAATTCCACCATTTTTCAAAGATTTGGCATAATTAAGTGATTAAAATGTAAACAGAGTCGTTCAGAGTGGTTTGGTGTGAAACGCTCTGTTCTAGAGTCAGAATTGTTCACAGTGGTGGTGATGGGAACCAGACCTCTAAAACCTCCCTCACAGGAGGGAAATGTTTATGAATTCACTGCTTGATGTCTGAGACATGGTCATATGATAGTTTTGAGAGGTGTTTTGGGCAAAATAGTCCTCAAAGAAAACTTATTATTTCAGATTTTCCACTATTTTCCATCATCAACATCCCATATAAACTCAGAAGACTCGTGTAGGTTCACTGGTGGTTTTGGATAGTAAATAAAATGTCTATATTTGTGTTGTAGTCATGGCGACCCCTAGTTCCTATCACCACCACTGTAACTATTACTTGGTTTACATTTCAACCTCTGAATTATGCAGAAATTTTGAAAAAATGGGTGGAATTCCCCTTTTCTTTGAGATTTTCTTTGAGAAGTTGTTGTGGCAGTTGAAATCTGCTGTATTCCTCTAATGTGGCACAGAAGAGCCCCTCACCGTCTCACCACCCCCCCACCTGGGCCTCCCAATTTTATCCCTATGGTTTCTCAATGTCCCGTGATCTGCACATTACATGAAACGTAAGATCCAAACGTTTCTCTCAATCCGGGAGATTTTCTCTGTTTTTAGCAGCTCGGCGTCTTTAGCTCATCTTGACGCTACACTGGAAAACATTTGTTTGGAACAATTATCATTATCGTTGGCAGATCAGATGTCCCATGGCATTAGGAGGAGAAAAAAGGACAGAAACATAATCTTTTTCTCCGTGCCGCCGTGCGGAGGGACCGTCAGCCGCTCTTAATGGCAGCCATGTGTGATGCCGAGGCCGACCGGTATCTTCAGACGTTCCAGTACTGCTCACAGATCTCTCTCTATCTCTCCCTCCATCTGTCCCTCCATCTCTCCCTCCATCCTCTCACATTGAAAGCTGTTATTGCTTTCAGATGACGCAGTGACTGGAGCTGGAAGTTTAGCTGTTGATAAAAGATTTGATGTGTGTTCAGGGTTATTGGTGTGTGTATATGTGTGTGTGTGTGTGTGTGTGTGTGTGTGTGTGTGTGTGTGTGTGTCTTGGCTGCCTTTTCATCTTTTACGGAGTTGCAAGGCTGTTATTCGTTTCATTTTTCTTCTCTTAATAATTGTGTATAAAGTGATTAATGCAGCTCAAACTGCTTATCACACTCACTCTGTTCAGACAGATTCAAAGATAATTTCAGTGAGAGGCGTGCCGTTTTCCATTTTCATAACTTATAAATATATATAAATATATAGCTTTGCTTTACAAGAGAAGGAAAAAAAACCTACTTTACTTCTAATGGAAGTCAATGGAACCAGAATTTTTTTCCAAGTCATTTTAGGTCATTTCTTTTAGCCCATGATCATGAAATTTACATACAATGTCAAGGGTAACAGACATTTTCAAATTATGTCCAAAAAAATAAGTAAAATGTCTCTCTCTCTCTCTCTCTCTCTCTCTCTCTCTCTCTCTCTCTCTCTGTTTAGTGGAATCTTCAGAATTGAAGCTTTCTTTCTTTCTTTCTTTCTTTGTCTTTGTTTGTTTCTCTGTTTATTTAGTTGTTCCGTATTTTTCTTGTTTTCACTTTTTTCTCTTTTTTCTTCCTCCTTTTTTCTCTTTTTCTTCCTTCCGTCCTTGCTTGCCTTTTTCTCTCTTTTATGTTTCTTTTGCTTTCTTCTTTCTTTTCCATCATTTCTTTCTACCTTGCTTCTCTCTCTCCTTTTTCTTTGTCTCTTATTTCCTTTCTTTCTTTTGTTCTGTATTTCTTTTTTCTTGTTTCCTTCTTTCTTTTTTGTTCCTTCTTTCCTTCTATTTCTTTTTCTTCATTTCTTCTTTTTCTTCCACTCTTTTTTCTACCTTCCTTCTGTCTTTTCTTTTTTGTCTCTAATTAATTCCTTCCTTTCTTTTTTCCCATTTTATTGCATTTGAGCTCTGAGATTCATTCCTTACAAACATTATGTGACTGTATTTCCTTCATTAAGTGCAAATTGAGTTTTATTCGTGTTTCTGTTTATTTGCAGAATTTAACAAACACTGTAAAACACTGCGTCACTGTTGTTATTGAAGGAAAAGCGATTTACAGCACTGTTTAGAGTCATTTGTTATTGAAAGGTAATGTTAAATATGTAAAGGATGTTGTGCGTCAGGCTTGTTATTGAGGCGCTGCTGTTTTTCTACACGCTTCACTGAGATTTAAGAGCACTTTACCTGCTTAAAACTCCAAAAGGCTTTATGTTTTATTTGAGAGGTGCTGTTGGCAGGAAACCTTATGCAGCCTTCATTAGAAATTACCAGCAACACATTCACTTATAAAACTGTTAGAATTAGAGTCACGCCATATAAAACTGTCCATCATAGTACAAATATAACAGTCATCCAGTGGGTTTTTGGAAGCAGTGGAAAGTGAAGCTTTAAGAAGTTAATTCATTGGTTAAAAAAGTGTTAAAATATAAAAATGTTCAGGTTTTTTGGACAGAAGCAAATCTGGATAAAAGGCTTTTAAGTTGAGGAGTTTTTTTTCTAGCTAAATAAATATAA